CTATGATATTTTGATAACACCTGTTTTTACTTAAAACCAAAATTGAATGATTCACTAGCTTATAAATACACACCTAAACAAGGAAGACAACATGTACCTACGTCTTCCAGACTATCCGCACTATCCAAGTAGGCGACATCCATGAACAATGTTTTCGGTCCGCATCCACATATAAAGTGAAGCAGCACTAAACTAGCAAAAGGCCGCGGCTATGAGGTGTAAGCGGCACATTGTGATAAAAATCTACACACGATTCCATGAATCAATACACTTGAATGCTATTGTTTTTAAATCTAGATTGTTTTGGATGCGGCGTGCGCGAAGTTATAACAAATCAAACAATTGTCGAAGAAATAATTGTTAATGACAAGAATGCACACATTCATGAAAGCGTTTTCACTCAAACCACTATAAATACGCATTAAACATAAACAATACTAAAACAACACCAGATAAAGACTTTAATAAACATCTTTCTTACGTGATGAATTCAAATCCATATTGTTGAAAGTCTCTCGGCAACTTCGTGACGAATATCGCGTTAAAATTAACGACTCGTAACTAATTACAAATGGCATCACAGCATTACGACAAACATCAACACTTAAATCTTTTATCCATGTTTGGCTTTAATCATGTTACAAACGAGAACGGTAATCTGCCACAAATATTTACGCGATGACAAATAGCGGTACTCAGCAGTACTGTACTGGCGGTGACGGACAGACGGACGTATAAAAATATGTTAATGTGGAAGATAAACGTGTGTTTAGCGGCGACGGAGAGCGCGCGGTATGCCCCCGTCCGCGGCAACTGAGCGCTGCACAGCTCGCGCTGCGGTATTATGCTATTTCAATTCGCGCAGAGAATTCGCAACTTGGCAAATACCGACGCGTCAAGGGTGGCCGTTCCTGGGACGATGTAACTTGAACCAGAAGGAACAACATCGCTTTATTTGCTTGTATAACCCAGATATATAATGTACATTGTTAGAACAACTGAACAACTGCCGGCCCAATGCGATTATCATTCACATTAGAATTAGTCTTAATATGAAGTACATTATTTAAGTACCGTAACAAAAAGAGAGTTGAATGAAATAACAGTAATATGCGAAAATAATTTTCAAAAGTAGTAATAAATCGAACAAGTACAGCATGATATGCGCACAATGTTTTAAATGATGAATTGATTTAAATTGACAATCGGTCCGATGGTATTCTCAGAAAGCTTGCAGAGAATTGTTTTTCTGCTGTGTACTTAATTACTGGTGCATTTTTATGCATTATCGCAGTAGTGTTACACTAAAGTGGTTGTTGAACATGGAATAAAATTAATGTTTAGTAAGTATACTGTTTAATAACATAACGATCAAGACACCTGCATGTTACGATTCATCTTTTAAGTTTCGAAGTAAACAGAAACAATTTTTAAGCTGGATATAATACACAAAAGCAGCGTAAGTGTTTTCCCCAACTGTTCTAAATATAATAAAATACGATGCAAAATTCATTACAACGTAGCCAGCTTTACAGCTAAGAAATGCTGCTGTACGAAAGGTGTGGATTTCAGTGGCAGGACGACATCATGACGTCACAGTCGTTAGGTTCCGCTCGAGGGCGTCGCTTCTACCAAGTTACACGGTCCATGCACACAGGACAATGTGGCCCTTCTCAATGCAAACACAGATTAAAACTTTAACTTTATACTACAATATAAATGGAGTAATTACTAAACTTAATTTAAGATATAACAACAGAAACATCCAAGATTTTCTTGACTTCTATAAAGCGTACGAGGAATAAGCCTGGGACACAAAATTTCGTCTGTATTTCTCAAGAATTAAATAAAAGCATGAAAGTTTCGTATTATATAGGTTACATTGGCTTTCATAAGATGAAGTGCCGCTTAGAAAAGACTGCTGACACGCTAGAAAAACTTTGAAAATTTTAAGAGTTTAAATATAGGTTATTCTTAAATCCCAATCTAAAACCTCTGATAAAAAACACTATGTTTTTGCCTCGTTTAAAACATTCACATTTTACTTTTCATCTTTTGTAATAAGATTGTACAGATTTAAAACTTAACGAATATTTTATAATCTGTTTCAAAACATTTCAAAACTGCTATTCTATTTGTATGTTAATTTTGAATGCTTTTTCATAATTTAACTACTATCGTTACTCATTTTAATTAAAAAAAAAAACACGTAATCCATGCCCTGGCGTAGCGAAAAAATATAACAGGTCACTGCGCTTCTTATTTACGTTGGTCTCATTTACGATTTCTACAGAACTGCAGTAAGGCAAGTAAGCTAGACTAAAATTACATCCCTATTAATGAAAATCGTAAAACACCACTGAAATATATCATCCGGTTTGCAGTTCAGAATAGGGCTCTTTTTAGGTAAAGTAGTGATACCAGGAAGATCTATTTTAAGATAGAAGATGACACACGTATAACCGGTTCCTCGACCTTAAGTTGATCATAAAATGCTACATATGAACACTGCAGATGTATTGCCACTAATACGGAAGAAAGGTCAGAAAAAATAGTATGGAAGTCTGTAAGGACACTAGCTGTTGGAACATGGAATATTGAACCGTGAAAGATAAAGTATTATTAGAGTTTATGATTGTTATAGATGGGTTTACTGTTGTGACTGTGTTATCGAGAAAGCAGCGTGTACAATGAAAAAAAGTATAAAAATTATAATTACGTTTCCATTCCCCATTTTGTAACGTGACAATTCTGATCATAGCCGTAGCAGAAACTACGCGGTTCACAAGAAATAATTTTCACTTAATTCCAAGGGTATGTAAATGTCTCCGAAATTATTCACCACCGTCGCTTTGATGACCACATTAACAGTCAAATTAGAAAGATATTTCTGATTACACGAAAAAAATTAACAATAATTTAACAAAAAACGCGTTCACCTTTCATCACGAAAAGTTTTAAAATATAGTTCAAGTGTGCTTTGAAGAATAGAATAGTATAACTATAATTACGTATTTTGCATAGAAACAATGAGGTTTATCAAAAATGATGAGAGTATTGGTAAATATATGATGTCACTATCGTCGCGTGTTATTTGAATAGACCTAGGAACATAATATTTTAGTTTATTCCCTCCTAAATAAAACCGTCAGGTAATGGCCGCAGGACGGACTAACGCGCAGCGAGGATTTCGCGCGTCGGCAGGAAATTTACAATCGGTATAGCACGATGTCCGTCAGGATGCCGCCATTGAATTTGGCCTCGATCTATATTTTTGTACTTAATAAATATTTAATGATACAAAATTTCGAAAAGTATTGAAAATTTGCTATTTGGAAATGAATCATGTTAAATTTTGAATATCCTTATGTTCCTAAGATACATATGGATATTATGTTATTAGAAAAGATTTACAAAATTCTGTAAAACTAAAGTAACGAAATTATTACAATTAATATGATTTATGTAAACTTACATAGAATACCACTTCTAGGTTATCATAAAGGATCAAACCAGTGCCTCACAAAAATAAGCCTAATTTCACATCAATGTAATGTTCATAGAACACAGATATTACATCAAGACTTTTTATTATACCTTATTCTAAATAATTCTTACTTCTTTTGAAGATGCTTAAAGCAGTTGTTTACAGTGTCATTTGAATTATTATTAGATTTATTATATTAGAGATTTTCAAATAACAAAGCCATCAATGGTTAATCACAGTTTTAAGCTACACATCACGGATAAATTCAAATTTAAAACTTGCTTTTTTCTTACAAGAGTAAAAAAAATCATACAGGGTATTTCAGCAGTGGAAATCCACAGTAAGATAGCCTTTACCACAATAATTTTGGTCAATTTCTATCGCACAATTTTTGTTTATGATTGGCTGAATGGCAATATGTTCCAATTCCTTAGCAAATGGCTTTGAAATCTCAATTCCACTAATAATTAAAAACAGTGTAGTACATATAAGCATCTACATATCAATTCCAAATAAAGTCATTGTTTAGTTATGGTGGGAATTGTAGTGGTAAAGCAGATAAAGATGTACACAAATATGCAAGAAACATGTTGGACTTAGCTTTTGTATGCTGTATCAGTACAATGTAAGTACTCTGTTTCATTTAAGTAATAGAATTAAAAACCATTGATTGCATTAACATTATATGAACAATGTCTTTTCCTGCATACAACATTGAATTGTATAAAGGCTTAAGTTTCAGCTTTAAACGTCCGTTAAATCACTAAACATATTAACACATTCTTTATTCATAATAATTACATTTTATCCTTTAATTTATGTAACATTTGTACGTAAAATATTCATCTATGTTTGATAATTTGGTGGTTAGCCAATTGTCTCAGTAGAGCAAAACCAAAGTCATCCGTTACATAAAAACAATTTAAAAAGTAAAAACATGCATCGAAAAATTTGAACTGTATGCGCAAAATTTTATTGGCGCGAAGTTGCAGGTAAATGTACAAGACGGTTACATAAGCGGAAGGATAATATTAAATATTACCTGATCTCTGCATTATGATAACACTATAAAACAATAATTCACAGCGAAAACATAGCGAATTCACAAGCTTTTAACACAACACTTAACCGAACTGTCAACAGTTACACCCGCCCTTGCGACGGGAAGAAATTGATTTTTGAAGATTCTTGCCAATGTTAAAATTAAGTCAAGTTGCAAAACAACCAAAAACAACTCTTAAACTTTCGGTAATAATTTGTACTAAATTAAAGCTTTGCTTAAAGATAGGAAAGTGGGATATTTATCTGTTGTGTCAAGTCCGTTGGTATATTACAATTACAAATTATCACAAGCATAATTTAGAATAAATACTTTTTTCAAGTGTCTCTTCGATCCACTTCGATCATTTAACCGGTAACAAAATTGGTAAAAACCAAAGAGTATATAAAAACCGCAGTTTTTTAATCTATAATTTAAAAATCAAATGTGTCAAGTTTGACACGGTCTGTCAAAGTGTATGGTTTTGTATTTTGTAAACATTGCAATTGATAACATTCAAATTGAATTCGGAAATTCTGATGAAGCAGTCTTTACAAGAATTCGGTAGGACAGGCCCTTAAACTTCTTTGCCTTATTTATAATTAGAATGCAAAGTACCAGGATTTGTTTATTACGTTTAGTCATGATGACGCGAGTTTTGAAACAAACATATGCTAAAAAGTTAATGTTATGTAGAGTAAGTATCATATCATATACGTTGATAATTTTAGTAAACACCAAAGTATTCTGATTGTGTTTGTGGTGTGGTCAGTTCTTTTTTTATTTAATCACTAGATACTTAGGTAATAGTGAACAAAACCATTAACTAATAATTTTTTAGGATAACAATAAGAAAAGTCAATTCCCTCTTGTAGGGATTGCGGCCTTAGGTTTCTTGTGGTCAAGATCTGAACAGAAAACTGAAAAAAAAGATAATGTTAGTAGAGTCTTAGAAAAATCTGATGAGGAGTTTGAGAATGGTCATTATGAAGATTGTTACCAAACCTTAATGTTAAGTAAGGTGAGTTAATATCCTGAATGAACATTTAAAAAGATATCTTATACTGTCTAGTGATTTTAATGTATCATGATATAGTATAAACAATATTATGAAATATTATATATATATTTTAATTTACAGTTTCATGATGATGTTGAAGTTAGATGGCGAATTTGTCGAGCACTTTACAATTTATCAAGAAATTTAAAATTTGATGAAAATTATAGAAAAGAGCTTATTGAACAAGCATATGAAATTATAGAGAAGGAAGTCACTATTTCTCCAAATCATTATGCTGTCCACAAATGGTTTGCCCTCATTTTAGAAGCTAAAGCTAGTTATGAAGGGTATAAAGAGAAAATTAAAAATCTTCAAAACATAAAACAACATATGGATGTAAGTTGAATTGAGTAAAGTAAAAAGTGTATGTATTTGTATAATAATTCACAATATAAATTTTTATGTATTATTTCAGCTAGCAGTTATACTAAATCCAAATGATGCTACAACCTTTCATATGCTTGGAGAATGGTGTTTTCAAATAACTGAAATGCCTTGGCATCATAGAAGAACAGCTGAAATTCTTTTTGCCTCTCTACCTAAATCAAATTATGAAGATGCTCTTGAATATTTTTTAAAAGCAGAAACGGTACAACCTAGATTTTACAGTATGAATTTATTAAGGATTGGTATTTGCTATTTAAAACTAAACAGACCAGACCAGGCTAAATATTATTTACAACTGGCGGCCAGTTACCCTGCTAAATCAAATGAAGATCATCAAGCTAATAAAGAAGCAACAGAATTGTTGAAAAAGATTTAATGAATTTATTCTTTCTCAGTATAAAATCCGCTATAAAGGTTATTGGGCTCTTCAAAAGGGTAATTACTTTAGTAAGATTAAGGTGGATGTATATAAGTCAGTAGTCTGATGAATGATATATATAGATAGCTAGATATATAAAAAATCTTAAATGACCAAATAAAGACGGATATCAAGAATATAGAGGGGATAGAGTGTAATTGTTACTGAATTCAGTGTAGGATTTCACTAACAAGAGTTTGAAGTTCTGATCTATTAATTAATTTTTATTACTCATTTTTATTGTTGATGTATTTTTAGAAGTTTGTTGAATGCAGTAATCAAACTTTTAGTAAACAAAATGCTCTTCTTCTCCTGATTTTCTTCAAAGATAAAGAATGTATTAGTTGCTTATACTTCAAATATTAAATATTATTACACAGCTTTAATTTATTTTAATAAAAAATGGAGTATAGTCTCTCTATTTATTTTTCTAAATAACTCGTTAATGTATAAAAGGTTTACAATCATTTATAACTTATTCTAGAAGATTACATTTCTGCTTACGCAAAGTAAATATAAAAAAAATATCTTAATTCATAGGATTCATAATATTATATTTGAATTATTAGATTTTGACTTTAAATTATTGCAAAATTAAAAGCTTTGCTTTTCAATATCAACTATTGGTATTTCATACGTCATAAATCATTAAATATCAAAGAGAATAAAATACATCAAGGAACATTATATAGAGTAAAAATATAAAATAAAAATGTCTTCAACTGATTTCTAATAAAATTGCACTGCAGCCTCATTGTTAAAATGCAAATATTACCAAAATTGGCAACTAATGTTTTCACAACCATATTTACTATTATGTGTATGTTAATAAATGATGTTATATTTCAAAAGCATTTAAATGTAACATTTACCATTGATTTCTGAGACCAAAATCTCTGTCTTAACCCTTTTACAGGGTTAAACATATTGTCATCCCTGAAAAAACAGAGAACAATAAATTTTAAATGGAGATTTTGGTCTTGGAATCCCACGATTACAGACAGTACAAATTATAAATAAAAATAAAATCAATATTCCACATTATGCATAGATTTACAGAGACAAGAAAATTTAAAATTGAGGTTTGCAATTAACAAAAAAAACATTGATGAAAAAGTACCATTTTATAGTAATGTACCAACTATGAATAGCAGTAATCAAACACACAACTACGCAAATGTTGATACAACTAAATTTTGAAGTGAAAACTATATAGAGTAAATACAGTTATTCAAAATATTTAAATTAACATTAAAAAAAATGGCAAACAAAAGTAAGAACATTCAATAAATCTAGAAGATAGTTAACTACAGATATATTTATGAGACGGTTTAATTAAAGAAGCCATCAAAATAATTCAACAGCACAGCACCAAGAAGTTTCACTTACATCTAACTGAGATTTCTCTGCCAAAATAAAACTTAGAAAACAGCAAAAAAATTTTGGTATCAGTTTTTCGATTAAAATGTCTATCCACTGGTCTAAAATGTCTAAAGAATAATCCAAAATGTTTTTACCGTATTTTTTACTCTGGCAATGACAATTTGTAGAAATTTTTCTATACAAAAAAACATTCTGAAGCCTAAATTTTTTTATGAAGGCTAGTCCAATAAGGGGGTTTACCCTTAGTGTAGGATGTTTAGACTATTATTATTGCTATTATATATTTTATAATGTATATTTTTAAAAGGAAACTGATATAAGACTAATGTATTTGAGTCATGGATAATTGATTAAAAAAATGGGTAAAATGGTAATAAAATTACCGTTGTTTGGCAATTTGAATATATTATAATTTTTTATCAATAAACATAGCGTCAGTTTAATTTATACGATCTAGTTCTACATTTCGTTATTTAGGTTAAAATACTTAGAAACATTTTTAGTCATAAAAGGTTAACAATCCATTTAGTAAATGTTAAAGGGTTAATTTTTTTTTTTTTATAAAAATGTATGTTTTAGTAAATATTAATAATAGGCGTAAGCATTTTCAATACTAAAGCTTATGTTTGTGCTTTCCTACTTGTCTTAATAATACGATGTAAACAGATCGAAAAGGTTACGAGATCCAATATCATACGATTACAATCTGCCTTTATAAAGCTAATACTCACTGTGGGTTTCTGAGTTCGAACGAACGAATTCTGTATACAACATATCTTCATCCCAGTCATTTTATTTGACAAAACAGATATAATTTGTATTAAATGTGGATTTAAGTCTCAGAAACCCACGGTCAGAGATCTAAATTATTATCAGACGAATAGTGTAAATGCCGATTAGTTACGTTGTTACTCGTTGTGGTTTCTTGTCTTCTCAAAGAACATGAAATCCTGGAAATAAATAAAAGCATATTAATATTACATACATGAACTTCCTCTACTGCATACATTCAAAACAATTTCTTCGATTATATTGAATAACTGATAATGTGTTTCAAATAAAAACGTGCCATTAATTTAACTTAGTACTTCAAATTAATAGATTTTTATTTAATTATATTTAAAAAAACAGGTCAATCATAAAACAGCGCACACTTTGATTTGAAATGCACCATACTGTAGAATATTTGCAAATTTACTAAAATACTCACAATCAAGAAGCATGCGCCTAACAGGACCGCCTTTATCCTCACATCTAGATCCATAGGAAATGATATACCGAAGTAGTCAGAGTCTGTGAACATTTCGCGAGCGAGCCCCGACCACTGCTTTGTTATCTTTCCCACTTTTGTATCACCATCTCTGGAGTACACCTGCCAATTTAAATCTTATATCTTACTATCAAACTAATATTATCAATGCGAATGTATATGTGATAAATAGAAGGATGATAACAATTATGCAATGGTAATAAAAGGAATAGGCCGCTGATTAAGGTTTTTTTTATTCCACATAGACGGAGTCACGGTCGACAGCTAGTATAAAATAAGAAAAGAAAAATATAACCCAAGTATGGTTCTTTTATATTTGGGCTGATGTTTAAATTTAAATCAATGGGTCAAATTTAATCCTGAAAAACTTTACTACAAAAAAAACTTTTGGAATAAGAAATGTTTTAGAGAAAGACATACATGTAACATTGTACTTACATTGAATTCAACTTGTCCACAAATGGAGAAAGTACAACAGGGCCCTTTAATTCTCAGAACGACATCACCCGCTGCATTCTTTATTACATAGCACGGTTTGCAGATGGACCACTCCTGTTCAATGGAGCCGATGACCGTCCCCGGCGGCGCCGTCACTTCCATGCTCTGCAGCCAGCACGGACAGAAGCAAGAATCACATGCTAGAGGACGATGGAGATGAATAACCTGAAATTAAAATATACACCTTTTTATGAATAATCAAGGACAATTTTATTGTTCTATGTTTAATCTATGTATTATTAACTATTGGCCGCGGCTATGTCGGCGCGGAATTTAAAAACCTAAATAAGTAACCTATGTGTTTTTGTAGACTATGTTCTACATTTACGCAAAAATTCATCAAGATCAGTTGAAAATATCCGGAGACACCTTCCAAGAAACATCGATCGATCCATTTAAATTCTCGCATTTTAAAATATTAGTAAGATAATATTTTATTGTACAGATATAACTTTAAAAATTGTATACCTCATTGTGAAAGTTATCCATGATTTTCATTTCAAAAGGTCTCATGGGTCCACAGCAGTTACGAGTGCAGCAATCATTATCTTCAATTGCATAATACACTTTTTGTCCAATATTATTTTTAACTGTGTATTTGTTATTGGTTTCAAATCCAACAAAAGCTTCCATTAGTTCAATCTTCTGATGTACAAGCAACTGATCAATCATAGACAGGTATTCCAAACCTGGAGGACAGTTGCTCAGCCCGCGCGGAATAGTCATCCAACCACCTAGAAACATATATACAATTACTGCAAATGTATATAAAAGTCTATATGATGTAGTTTAATTACTAAATACTCACATCAATTCAGTGCAAATGAACATTAAATACATACATTCTTATCAGTATATAACAGTGAGCACAAACAAATAGGGCAGAACATAAACTAATATTATACCTATACCAATATTACATTAGTTGGATAAGACGAGTTTCAAATAAACACATAAATAGATACAATATAATTAATACATAACATTAGTCACATTATTTCATGTTAGTATTTAATATCCTCCACCAATTCCCGATTTGTCTTAAGTATTATAAACCTCTTTTCCTCATCAGATAAAAATTTTTCATAACCAGCATGATGTGATTTAAAAAGATTATTAAAAATTCTGGCCAGTGTCCTCTTAGCACTTGACGCACTCAAGGTTTGAAAGTAAATAATATTTCGATTTTTAATATTTTCAAAGTTGCACTTTCTTGAGAAGTATTTCTTACATTTACACCACTTAATAGAATTAATTTTTGTTTCTTTTTTAGGCAAATCTTCATACAATATATCAAAAGGATGATTAGAATGATCAAAAACCATTTTTTTCAATGCACAATTTAAACACTGTGATAGTAAAAATGTTTAATAATTAAATGAAGAGTGGTGTCGACACTTTATGGACGAATATTGCTACAATGTGATTATAACTTGTACCTATCGCTAAAGAGTAAACAGCTTTATCTATGTAAGGAGTCATTAACTTATTTGTACTCAATGATAGGTTTAAGACAAGGGCAAATAAATGCTAATGAAATTAATTTAATGTTTCTTAAAATTGTTAAAAAAAATTACATATGCGGAAAAAATCACAACTTTATCTTATCAAAAGGGGTTTAACACTTGAATATTATGTTCATGATTATATAATAATATGAAATAAGAAATATTATCTAAGTGAACAAAAATGAATGTGTTGTTGATGAATAAAAAATCTGTATTACCTGGAGGACCTTGAGGTGCTGGCTGCTGCACAATTGGAGCAGGATATCCTGACTGAGGATGAGGATATCCAGGAGCAAAGCCAGGCTGATAGCCAGGTTGAAAGCCAGGCTGAAACCCGGGTTGGAATCCTGGTTGGAAGCCATGATGCATTCCTGGTAAAGGTTGAGCTCCTGGCGGCAAAGTTGGTCCAGGGTGTGGCATCTGATGATGAGGAGGGCCTGGGTAATCTCCATGGGGGTTCATAGGATAACTTTCATTATTTTTTCCACCTTCTACTGGGGGTTCATAACCTTGACCAGGTGGAAAGTTAGGGCTGTATGGTGTGGGTTTGTGTGACATTGTGTCTATGGACCTGAAATCATCAATGTCTTCAATTTAATTCTATTTTTAATTTTTCATCTGCACTGAACTTTTCTTTTCTAAAGAGCATAGGTGGTGCAATTGTTAAGTACCTGGCCATACTGAATTATTATCTATATATCCAGGTTAATTTGAAAAAAACACATTGGTACACAGTGGGAGCCATGTACCAATGTGTTTTTTTTAAACCTTATATGCACATTTATCAGACATTCTCAGAGAGTAAGAAAATGTCATGATGCAACCTCCACATATCCACAAAGAAATTCGAAGATATGTGTTAAGCCATCTTGACAGGACTGGGCCAGCGTTGTTGACTAAGGCCACCATAAGTTCTGGTTCCAGGCCCCTAAGTGGGAACACATATTAGCTGGTAACTGAAATTTTAATTAATAAATAAACCCAAATAATTCTATGTAGACGCTATCCACACCTCAGGAAAGAAAATATATATAATGATTCTTCACTCTTAAAATATGTATCAATGTTTATGCTACAGGAGGAAAAATAATGTAACAGGGAGGCAAACATATCTGTGAAAACAAACATGCAATTTAAATGTAATTACATTAGTAAGTAGTAGTACAGTAAAAATTATTACTAGAATTATTTTACTTTAAGCTTGTCGTGTTAGTCTAATCCAAATAAATTTGTTGAAATATATGTTGCAAGAACTTCGCTTTCTTATACAGGAATTCTCCTCCTCGACAACTGTTTATTTATAGCCATAATGTGAAACTTTATTGCGGCAGAAAAAATAATCAAATATTGTTACTGCTATGCGATTGGTGGTTGCACAGCAGTAAGGTTAAGGATTTAATATCTGTTTACTGTTTGTTTATTAAAATGGAACGTATGTTTCGAAATATTTACTTGAAAATTTACAAAAGTGTATGTTAATACATTTGTTAATCAAGAAGCATTGTATATCGTCATTTAAAATTTAACATACAAATTATTACCTTGATATTTCTTCCTGTTGTTGTTGTTCAAAGATATGGGATATTCTGTTTATTTTGTGCTTTACCCGGTTTCTTCTCCCATGGAAATTGACAGAAAATAGAAATCAAAACGAAAACTTGAAAAAATCAAAACACCTATTTAAGAAGACAGATAATAAATGCACATACAAAGTGCAAGTGATTACATATGCTTTAAGATCACATGTATGTATTTTATACTTTGTAAAATATGAGAAATCCTTAACAGTTTGTTTTCACAAAATAATATTTTTTTACCCCTAAAAAAATGGAAAGTGGATTATAAACAATTTTTGAACGAAGTCCATGAGTCCAGTGTTGCCATACTTTTTCGCATTAACATTTCCGGCGTAATGTTGCCAAGTAATTGATTTTTCCTAACGAAAAGTAAGTTATTAAATTATTTTTATTAAATTATTCCTTAGCGTGATGCCAATTCTTTTTATTTTTAAGAAATATTTTAAAATTTTCCTGCCACAAGAAAAAAATATTGACAGCTGCTAGAAAAATGTTAACATTTTGCTTTGAATTAAATGAATCTTAATGTTCTTATGTCAATTAAAAAAGTAATACGTATCCATCTCGCTTAATAATAAAGTTATTAAGTTGTCTCTAAAATTTGAGTAATTTGTGTGCTATTTTTAATAAAATATATGGCAATGTTGGTATCCGGTTTGTAATAATTCCATTCACCAATCAAACCATAGCAATAGAGTGCATTGACCAACCTGCTGTTGCTGCGAATTCTACCGAGGAGCAAGTCAGTTGGATAGATGTTTGCTTCCGTGTTTGTACTTTCAAGTGTGAAGTGACTAGGCAGCGCCGGGATGCAATCAAAGTTGTTTTGCTACCCATCCAACTAAAATGGCGTCGCTGTTTATCATTTAGTTATCTTGTTTCATGTGAACGTTCTACAAAGATCGCATCCGTGTGAGTCATAAACCAACATAGCAATGACATTTTTATAGCACACAGTGAGAATACGTTTTCAAAACGTTGTTTAGAAGACTGGCTAGTGTGATTTAGATACCACAATAATGCGCGAATTCAAAGTAGTTGTGCTGGGATCGGGTGGGGTCGGCAAGAGTGCTTTGACGGTGCAATTTGTGTCTGGATGTTTTATGGAAAAATACGACCCCACCATAGAGGACTTTTATAGGAAAGAAATAGAAGTGGACAATTCTCCGTGTGTTTTAGAAATATTGGATACAGCGGGCACGGAACAATTTGCATCAATGAGAGATTTGTATATAAAAAATGGCCAAGGCTTTGTTGTAGTATATTCTTTAACCAATCATCAGACGTTCCAAGACATAAAGCCAATGAAAGAGTTAATCACGCGCGTCAAAGGTTCGGAGCGTGTGCCGATACTGCTAGTGGGCAACAAAGCAGATTTGGAGCACCAGCGGGAGGTCTCACAAGCAGAGGGCTCCAGCCTCGCACAAATGTGGGGCTGCCCGTTCTTCGAGGGCTCTGCCAAGAGTCGCATCAATGTGAATGAAATGTTTGCCGAGATCGTGCGCGAAATGAACGTTAGTCCAGAGAAGGACAAGAAACCTTATTGTTGTTGTACAGTGCTTTAATATTTAGAGTGTAATGTGGCATTTATTTCTCGTAAGACTGCAAGAGGAGGCAGGGAGGCAGCCGCCTCGGCCCGACGGCCGCCTGCCTCCGGTGGGCGCGCGGAGGTCCCGGGGCGCGCCCTGCCGGTCCCAGTCGTTGGACCTTTGGCGGCCGCGGAGCGCGTCATATCACGTTGTTAATATCTTTGATACATACCATTGTCCAATCGAGGTGCTTTATCTTATATTTTCATACTTTAGTACTGGTAGATACTCCCGCAATAATCATTGTCACAACAAACAAACATAATGAACATGTGGATTCTGATTGGAATATTATATTAAGCATCAAAAAGTTGTAATAATTTTGATATTGTCCTCGGCTAACTAGGACATTGTCTGATTTTTATATGACACTATATATTATATGTATTGTAAAATAATGTTAGTGAACTTTGTATATAATTTCATGAGATTAATAATGTGGAAGGACAAAGACGGTTTTAGAGAATTAAAAGGCCATCCAAATATGCAATAAACATATATGAATGTGTAGTGTGAAGTGAAGGCAAGAGATGTACCTAAGTCAACTTGCAGATTGTGTTTTATTGTGTAAATTATGTTTATATGAGAAATCAGTAATCAAAGGAAACACAGACTTGAGAATTGTCAGTTGCGTGATTGTGTTTTAAAAGTCTACCAGGATTTGTGATAATACATATAACAAAATATCTATAATAAAAGTTTTAAGTGGGAGATTAACAAGTGAAGTTTTATTCTGCAGATTTCAGGTAAACACAAATCTTTTATACATAGTTTGCTGAACCTGTTCTTATCACTGTTGCGTTAACAATACAGTTTGCCATACAACAGATCACATACAATTTTTTTAGTTCTTTTAGTGAGATTTTTAGCAAAATATATCTTTATATGCATTGTGACATTATCTAAGTTTATAGTAGGTTAATCTCAAATTCCTATATGTTTTCGTTTATAGAATTACTTTTTTGTTCAGTTTTTTTTTCAAGTAACAAATTGAGTTTTTCTTGTAAAAAAAGAGATAAATTTGATCTTTAACATTTTTTTTAGTTTTAAAACACAGCATTGAGTGATAGATTTCTAACTTAATAATGCTTAGCATGGTAAACATACATAAAATAATCTCAATTTTCTTCAATCTTTACTATAGACTAAAGTAAAACATATAACAACTAAAGTATAAAACTATTTACTGTAGACCTAAAGACTTGACTATACTGCGTAGATTAATTTTATACACAATTTTATTTATAAAAAATAACAGTCTGATTAACTTACTATATGGAAAAGATGTATGTTGGCAGTTAATGGTCAAACCAAAACATTGTTGATTACCAAATGCCACTATGCAATAAACAAACAAGAAGCGTTTTGTATGATTATAATAGTTTATTTTAATAGCCAAAACAGACTCATAAGAATTTTTAGTTCACAAAATTTCCTTTTGATTTTAGTATACCTTCTATATTTTTTTTTCATAATTCATATATTTCTTTAATTTTTTGATTCGAAATATACAAAATAAGTAGCTTTATTAAAAAAAAAAACAAACATACTTATAAAGTATGTTTGTTTTTTTTTATAAAAGTCTAAACTAACTATATAACTCTGCGACAAACAATACATTTGTAGTTTTTATCACATTGAATACATCTATCTCTGATATTTTGAGCTCTGCATTTTAAACAACAAATGCATTAGAAAATTCTTAATTTCTTGGTAATTATTATAATCTTATACAAAGGTCATACATAAAAAATGAAATACTTTATTTAAAAACATGATATAATACTTTTTGTACCGAGCTGAAACTTAGTTAACTTCACTGTTTACACCCAATTCTTTTAACTTATTATGGCTAATACTCACATCTAATTTTTGGTCTAGTCAGGGGTCAATTTTAAGGCTCTTACTCTGCCCTTTAATTGCCTTTTTTCAGAAGAAAAGGAACCAAAACTAGTCTGTTCCATCACCACCAGATATTAGATGTGATTTTTAGCCTTATATTAATTAGTTTTTAATAATGCCTCACAAACGTTTCAACAACTTACCATGGCTTTCTGTGACTATATAAGTTTTGAAACCAATTGTATGTATGTTTGTACATGTGGGCCTATTAGACTGTGTCTTTTAGCGATTGTTTATTATCATTTTACATTTTGCCTCCTAACTTTCATATTACTTGATTAGTATTTATTATTCTAGTAAAAGGTAGTTCACTCTTTTAAATCTTATGCATTTACTTTGTATATATTTGTTTTAAATATTATTTTAGTGAGATTTTAATTGTAACTGTTGTATACAGCATTGGAATATTTCTTAGAAGTAATTACACTTTTTATTAATTGATGATAATTATAGTTAATATTTACTTTTGATAATTAGCAGCATATCATAATACAGATAAAATGATAATTTGTGTAATCCTCTAACAGTGATTTATAATTATTGGCAATTTTTAATGACAAATTAATGATGAGTAATTGTTCTGTAAGGAAAATAAAAATCTACTTCTGATATCTTTGTAAACACACTAGAGTAGACAATATCTTTAAATATTTATCTAAATGAGCATTTAAACAGAAAAAGTAAGCAAGTAATTTCATTTTTATTACAAGAATTTCAAATAAAAACATTGACTCTGCCTTGTTTTAAGGATACAGGATAGGACAGGACAATTGGAATTACACAAAGAAGGAAAATGGCATTTATAAGGATAATGGATACCTAAATATCAATAATTTTTAATTTTTTTAAAAAATATAAATCAGGACAAAGTTTTTTATATTAGTAGAAAATATTAATAATTTGGCACACATTTAAATTTAAAGTAGGTTCATTCTTTAATAGTTATTATTGCCTGTCTTTATTGAAACATGGTTTTTTTTTGCATTTGCTTGAATGTCCAAAATATTATAGGGCATGTTGTTAAAGTGGAATTAATTATTTAAATTGCTTTATATTATTTATACTATTATATCAGAGAGAGATGTATACAATGTTGAAGGGATCCCATTAAAAAGACATTGTTAAAACTCCGAACAGACGAAACAGGTAAAGGGCTTGGGGCCAACAATGAATTCATGCACAAATTAATTTCAATAGCGAGACGTGTTTTGGCCGCGTCCCCACCGCCACGTCAGTCTGAAGTGCAGCGACCGTCGTCGTCGGTCGCGGTCTTATATGCATCACAATACGGTGCACTTGAGCTTGTCACTCGTTCTGTTCATTCAGTTGTAATCAAGTCGCATTGTAGCAGTATTCTTATGCAGGCGACCCTCCAATCCTTCAAACACAAAACCTCTTTGTAGTACATAAAACATAGGAATAAATTTTTGGTGAGTTAATGCATTTTAGATTACGCGTCATGCATAGCACATTCTATAAAGTTGTTATAATTGATATAGTATGCAACTATTGTTTAAGATTGTTTTTAACTCAGTTCTCATTAACCTTGGCAGCGAAACAAGGAAACAATTGGTATACGACCATTACCAATACAATTATTAATCCGAAGTCATCAGGTTTGTAAGTGTACAATTCTACGAATAATCTATAGTCACGTCGTAAGAAAACAGT